CATATCATTGTTGCCACTTTTTTATACTTCGACAAATAAATCTTTGTTTATGGAATATAAGACTGTAGTGGCGCTTTGTTTTAATTCGAATTTAGTTGGCCTGTAGTGAATTGGGTTTAAACAAAAGCAGTTTACCCTGAATAATGAATCTGCAGAGTAAACGTTATTTAATATCTCCTTTGACTGTTCTATATTATGAGGCAGCTTTTAACATGTTAGCATATTAAGTCGACTTGGGAGTGGTGGCGCATTGGTTAGTGCACTGTGCTACGGACACGACAAACCGAGTTCGATTCCCGGTCACGGCTAACACGTTGCAAGTTACATCCATGGCTTAATGTCAGCCAGGTCTGTCTGGTATTGTGACCCAGAACGTTTTCTTTAACACACCCAGAACACCACATCAGTATACCTCTCGGTGTGGCTGTGGTTATGAGTCACGTGCCGACTCCAGCCCTGGAAATATTCGAACTGGTCTGGCTCCCACTCCACCCCTTCCCCCACCACCCTCGTCAGCGATCTGCACTGAGCAACGTGGCGAGGTATGGTCAAACAACCCACGTGACATGGTGTGGGGAGCTGTCATACAGCAGTGCAGTGACAAAGAGCTTTTAAAAACCCAATGTTGAAATTTAAATGTGGAATTCTATATATCTTACAGCGATGGCCATGATATTCTAAATATCCCAACTTATATTCCAATTGTGCTGTCAGCATCATGTCGTGAGAAAAAAGTTATATGCCGAAATATTTTAGCTGGCAGTGCATCACTGTGTGAACGAGCGCGGTTCTGGAAGCTGTTACAGACATCATTGCAACAAACCTCTTGAGATAAACTCGGGGCAAACCTTGTGTATGCCCTGAAAACTGTTCTTTGCATGCCAAATAGAATATTTTCATTCTCCGAGCTAAAGAAAATAATTCAAATTATGTTAAAAGACAAACGCAATTATACGGGGTTTTTTTGGTGTGTGTCCGGTAATTAATTGGTGACCCGTTTTGTAAAGCACCGTTTGTTGCCTGCATTTGCACTCAGGGTCTCATCAGTGCCGGCTCATTGCTCTGCCGACTCGGTGATTTACCAGCCTACGATCAGCACGGTTGGCTACGTACGGTGCGAAAGAAGTTGAACACACATACATGCATACAGCCCACCTCGTCAGGTTGTATAAAGCTGGACCAAAGCATTCGTGCAAGCGTTGGGGGGTTGGATGAGAGGGGAAAAAAACCCAACCAGGGCATAGAAATGTAGGCAATTGCTCACTGTACAATAATGTTATTTTATTTTCTTGCCAAGACCGCTTGTGCACACACCCTTGCAAAAAGCTTGTGCCTACAGATAACTCAAAGCAAAGGAAACAAAAAAAATATACTTAACATTTAAAAATACAGCAGCATTTCCTGTGGGATTGCGTTCGTGAAATTGAGTGTACTGTAGTGGAAAGATGCCGGATAGAGCATCCACCACAAGTACTCCTGTCCGTGACTAAATATGGAGCCGTGCAAGCTTAACGAACTTGCTCTATTTATTATACAAATTAAAGAGGAATGTGCAGTGTTACTTGGCTGCTGACTCTGCTCTCTTAAATAGGGCGCACTTCCCCACTGAACCTCTGAAAAAGCACACGCTTATGAGCAATTCCAAAACTGCACGCCCTGTTTCATATCGCTCCAAAGTCAACTTGATTAACCATGTAATTTTTGTTAAGTAAATTATGATGATAATATGCTGGCACTTGGTCAATCCACTGCTGGATGAAGGCTTCTCCCTGGTGGGTGGATTTTTAGACCGTACTTGATGTTGGTCAGGATGGGTTGATGAACACGGAGTGCCAAAAACCGGTTCAGATACCATGCCACTGATATTAGCTGTGGCCGCGATTCAAACCCCAGTCACCGGGTTCATACCGCAGTATGTGAACCACTGTGCTACTGTTCCACCCCAGTATAACATTACCATTAAAACACGATTGCAATACCATTGCTTTGCATGCATTATAATTAACGTGCATTGCTAAATCATCTCATATATAATGGGTCTCGATTTGTGCGGTAACTGCACTGCCCTGACCCCGGACACCAATCTTCCTTGGAAACAGTCACACTTTAAATACGGCTCCTTCTTTTAGCTCAGTGCCGCGCAGGGTGCTGCGAGCAATTTTCCACTGACATTTAACCTCACGTCTTCCCCCTCTGCGGTGCGGATAAACAAACAATTTTAACCGAGTTGCCCTGGAAAGAGACCCTGTGGCAGAAACTACTTGCAGACTCTACTGATCAAAGACCCGCATAGGCACGCAGATGTGTGCACCTTGTGCTAAGTGCCATGTGTGCGGGAAGAAGTATGTATGCATGTTGGACTTCATTCGCACCGTACATAGCCAACAGTGCTAATCGGAGGTGCGGGAGGAGGACAATAAACTAAAGAAATTGACTTAACGGCATCAGAAACTCTACAGACCGATGCGCACATCCCCTTCATGAATGGAAACTTAGAGACGCAACAAGCCACAGTAGTGCGACTGTGGCCATGCAACCCAAACTATGGACCACACAGTGAGGGCACTGTCGTCTGCGCTCCTTCAATGGAGAAGGAGGAAAAGCAACACCACACGAACTGTAACGCCTGAAGCCCTCTCGTCGTGGCTCGCAAACCTCGAGGTTGGCATTTAGCTCCTGAACATATCGCCAAGATGGCGCGGAGAGGATATTTAAGCGTTGGGAGACAGTCTTTACCGAATGTCCTGAATGATTGTGTATGAAATCACCTTGAATAAACGCAAACAGTTATCCTTCATCCATGAGCCAGGTGAAAACCTACCGAGTCCCAAAAGTACATATTTTTTTTTGTCAAACGGGACCTGGAGATACAAGGTCAGATCAAGTAATACCACAATTGAATACGACATTTCATGAAATGTGAAAGTTTAATAACGCGGTGCATGCTGAACTTCTATGGCATTGTGCGTGGCCAAACCGTGCGAATCGGAGGTGCAGGGGTAAAGACAACAAACTCAACACACGTCCTGAACGATTGTGTATAATGTCGCCTTGAATAAAGGCTGGCCAAATATACTTCAAACAGGACCTAGGTTACAAGGTTCAGATACAGTAATACGACAATTGTAAGACATTTCATGAAATGTGAAAGTAATATAATATAACTTAGAAGAAGGTTCACCAACAACACGGACAGCAGAAATAAAATCAACGATCAGAAACGGTATCAGAAAGACGATATGAAAAGATTACATACAGCGTGAACCATCTCAGGGCGCGAGTTGGACTATTGCATCGCAACACCACGAGTGAAAGGCGACTACATTCTCCAGTCTTGATGCAGCAGTAGATTGATCATGGCTGCTGATGATGATGATGACACGGTGAATGCTCTCATGCCGTGTGTTGCAAAGACGATGAAGGCCGAAGCATTGTCATGCGCTGTTTTTTCCATGGATTTTCTGTTTGCACAGTCACACAAAGTCACTTTAAGATGTTTTTCTTGTTCGTGTTTTTGTTTTTTTGTTTGTTGCGGTTGCACCCGATTCAAGAGCCGAATGGCTCACAGAGCTATATAAATAAAAAATTACTGAAAATAAAAACTGAAATGCGCGACGAGTATTATTATTTGTTTTTGTGTCCCACGGTAAGATGCGATGAGCGGTGTCGAGCCGCGATGCGCCACTGACGGCTCGGCCGCCGCTGGCAGCGATGACCGCAAGACGACGGCGCTGTGCAAGACGCATCACGACGTGTCCCGTGCGCGTCGCACGTGGACCGCTTGTTTAAATACAAAGCGGGCTCGGGGGCTTTACTGTAATGAAACCGTCTTACACGCAAGTTTCGGCTGTAACTAGAGCACGGGTAATCCCATCTCGGATGTTACAACGGCGGCTGTTTGGAAACACGGCTATCCATTCTCCCCCTCCTTCTTCTTCTTCCTCCTCCTCCTGCTGCCGCTCCCTGCCTCCCCCTCCCTCCTTCCCGTGCCGACCCCCCCCCTCCACCTCCCTCTCCGCTGCAACAAGCCCGTCTCAAACCGTGCCCAATCAGAGGGGCAAGTCTGCACGCACTCCATGAAAGGCAGGGAGGGCGGGCGGGAGGAGCGGTGGGACAAGCGGGGAGGGAAGAGGCGAGGTTGGGCCACGAAAGTGAACTTTGGGCTTGGCTGGCTGGGTGGCTGCTCACCGTGGGTGGGTGGGTGAGTGGGTGGGTGGGTGGGTGAGTGGGTGGGTGGGTGGGTGAGTGGGTGGGTGGGTGAGTGGGTGGGTGGGTGAGTGGGTGGGTGGGTGGGTGAGTGGGTGGGTGGGTGGGTGAGTGGGTGGGTGGGTGAGTGGGTGGGTGGGTGGGTGAGTGGGTGGGTGGGTGAGTGGGTGGGTGGGTGAGTGGGTGGGTGGGTGAGTGGGTGGGTGGGTGAGTGGGTGGGTGGGTGAGTGGGTGGGTGGGTGGGTGAGTGGGTGGGTGGGTGAGTGGGTGGGTGGGTGAGTGGGTGGGTGGGTGAGTGGGTGGGTGGGTGGGTGAGTGGGTGGGTGGGTGAGTGGGTGGGTGGGTGAGTGGGTGGGTGGGTGAGTGGGTGGGTGGGTGAGTGGGTGGGTGGGTGAGTGGGTGGGTGAGTGGGTGGGTGGGTGAGTGAGTGGGTGGGTGAGTGGGTGGGTGGGTGAGTGGGTGGGTGGGTGAATGTATGGGGTGGGTGGGTAGGTGGGCGGAATTATTCTAGGAGCGAGGAGGTGGTTACGCCTGTCAGAAAAAGTTAAGCGGCTTGAAGAGGAAGAGGCGGAGGAGGTGGTTGGGTAGTTGTGGTCGTGGTGGTTAGAAGTCGCAAGTGGTTGTGGTAATGCTTGGTGGTTGATAGGGATAAAGGGTGTGGGAGGGGGGGAGGTTTGAAAACTTCCCAGACCTGCTTAGTCGGGTTCCTTGAAGCAGAGGCGACCAAGTAAAACGCCAGGGCAGCCAGGGGCATTGCGTGTGCTGCTGCTGCTGCTGCTGCCGCCGCCGCTCAGCCCCTCCGTGCGTGGCTTGCATGCAGAGCTCCGGGCACGCCGTCGCCCACCGCTCTTCCTTGCTCAGCTCAGCCTCTCATCTCCTCCTTGCTGCAGCTGTTCGGCTCGGGGCGGGCGGGGGAGGTGAAAACGCAGGCGACTTCATAACCAATTGATTTCGAAGCCCAGGAAAAAAAATCTAGGCTAGAAAAAGAGTGGTGAGTTTTATCAGCCGAGAGCGCTGATACGCCTCTACTGTTCACATACGGTCTTGAACTATTGCAGAATTAACGACACTATTGTCGCTAATGTGACTTCTTTGGGGGCTTGCTGCGGCACGTGAAGGCTCTCTCGTCTGCACTGTCTATCTGTTGTCCTCTCTCCGTGCTTGGCACAACCCAATATTGTCACTGCACGTGACACGCTATTCACTCTCTACACATTAATCTACTACTTCTATCGCCTCTCCCTTCGACCCTGTGTTTGACACACACACGTGCGCGCGCGCAGCACTGCACGTGCCACTTGCAGTCTCCCTTGATCAGTGCCGTCACTACACGTGACACGCTATTGTCTCGACTCATCAACCTATTGTTTCACTCCGCCCTATTGTCTCTCTCGATCGCGCGTGTGGCACAACACCGCCGTGTCTGCACGTGACGGCGACTCTTCGTCAGCCCGCCGCTACCTCTGCGCGCCACTTCCAGACGGGACACTCGCCGAGGGCCGAGCTTGAAGGAACGCGCTGCGAACCTCCCGTCCCGAACTCCGCGGGGGTTGAGCAACGCGAGCGAGGATCGAATACGTCCTCCGAAAACCAAATGGCAACTCAATCGCGCAACCGGGCTGCCTCCTACTCGTCCCTCTCCTTATCCTGGTACTGCTGCTGCCTGCTGCAGCTGCTACTGCTGCTCGCGTCCGTGGGCCCGCGCAGCACGGCGGCGCTGACGTGCGTCTGCAACCGGGCGAGCTGCGCCGAGCCTCGCGGCTGCCGCGGCAGTGCCGTGCTGGACGTGTGCCGCTGCTGCCTCGTGTGCGCGCGTCAAGCGGGCGAGACGTGCGGGGGGACGTTCGCTCTGCACGGCACCTGCGACCGCGGGCTACGCTGCGCGGCGCCCACCACCCCGAGCGCCGTGTTCGGCTTCGAGCCGGGCTACTGCCAGGGTAGGGTTACACGTCCTGCGCCACTCGCACCCGGCGAACACGACGTGACGGCGATTCACAGGCCTCCCCCCACACACACACACCCTGTCCCCCCTGTGTAGCTTTTGAGAGACTGTTGGGGCCAGCGGGTGGGTGGATGGGTGGCCAGCATCACGCCAGGCCCACCCTCTTGTCTCCCAGGTGCTGATTATTACACGACCATTCCACTCACAACTGGGGACACAAAGCCAAAGATTCATACACAACCCTCTCCATCTCCCGTAAAGCCTTTGACAGACTGTTGTGGCACACGGGTGTGTGGCCAGCACCACGCCCGGCCAACCTCTTGTCTCCCCCGGTGCTAATTATTGTTTGAATATGATGGCGCTTTGAGGGGCAGATTTGTGCCAGAAATGCACCACGTGGCTAAGCAAACAGAACATTGACTTGACCGATGTTTAGAGCACGGCGCCAGGTTCTAATGTTCTAAGGCTGAGTCGACCTAGGGGATACACAGGACCGATCACGCTTATTGTCATTGGCGTTGCTGACCACTGCGTCACCGCTTCGCACACCTGGGACACGCACACACACAATGCACACGCACACCACCTGTAGGCACTGGTGAGGGCGCGTGCGCTTTGTTTTGCACCTGGGTGCAACTGCTTATCGCCCCTGCGTGCACGCCACAGGCACCTGTACGCACGAGGATGCACCTGTACGCACCTGCATGCCAATCGACCCATCTTGGCACACCTTGACATGCAGCCTCTATGCACCTCCACGCACCGTGCACCTGGACGCAACTGCAGACACAAATACGCACACAGACACACCTTTACACACCTGTGTTCACCACCACGTGTAATGCACTGACACACTCACTGGCACATCTTTACACACCTGTGTGCACCGATGCTCACACCTTTGAATGCACTCAATAACCTGTATGCACGCACATGGACATTACTACACGCATCAGGATTCACATGTGTGAATATACACCTGCCTAGAAGCACCTTCGGCACGCTTATGGCCTTATACATCACTACACATGCATGCAGCAAGTAGTGTACATTGCACACATGGAAAGATCTGCATACACATCTAAGCTCATGCGCTGCCGTCAGTGCATCTACACATCTGAAGAAAACACATGCTCTTATTTGTTTGAACATCCTCATACCATTCATCGTTGGTTTATTTAGGGTTAGATCGTGGCGTGTATAATGTCAATGGTTTATGACAACTCTCACCCCCCCCCCCCCGACAGAGCCACTCAAATCAAGCTGTCACGTGGGGCAATACACTATTTGATGTGGGTTTTTAGGTATTTTATAAGATTGTCAAAAAGTTTGACTACTTAATAAAATTAGCCACATTGCTTGCTTTTCAACATTCCGGTTTGCTGAAAAACCAACTCATTGGGTACATTTGTCCACGTGACAACTTGATTTTATTGGCTCTGTCGAGTGTTAGAGAGTTATAGATGAAATAACTGACATTATACCGACACCATCCACCCCAAATGAACAATTATGAATCATGATATTGGTTGTGAAAGGAAAGCCTACGTAGAAATGTATCGTTTCAGGCACTTTGTCCCATTAACATACCGAAATACTCATGCGGATGTCATGCTACACACATACTTTAGCATGTGCCTGCTAATTTAAGAATGTTGCAGGCCCTTGAAGAATGTAGCAGGGCCTTGGGTGGGTGTCAACGTTTGAACTTTGAAACTACAATCGCAATGCTCCAAGGCCCTGGCTTATCAGTGGTACCATCATATTGCTCACAATGTATTGCCTGGAGCCTGTATAGATTATCACGACGTTACAATTAGAAACTTAAGCGCAGCAACCGTTCCTTTCAGGGACCAGGAATGCTTCATCTTTATTGGCGTACTGTAAAATTGGCAGTTATGGTTTGATGAAATAAATGGCTCATAGAGGTGGCTGGATGGGCTGGCTGGCACCATTGAGGTCCTGGCATCTAATCCAGACATCAGCCACCCGTGATGAATTCAGGTTCTCAAACGTAGTGAGTTGATGACCTGAGCCCAGTCAGCAGTGGTCGCATGAAAAATCCATAATATATTAGAAATTGTCGCTTAATTTGGCGTGTACGAACTCTGAGGTTAAACATGTTCAGTTTGAAGGTGCCGAATTGAAATAGCTTGATAATAAGTTCTGGTATGTCACCTACCCGGGGCTGTCCCCTAGCACGGAGTGAGGTTTTTTTTGTTTGTTGCGGTTGCACCCGATTCAAGAGCCGAATGGCTCACAGGGCTATACCAAAATAAATGAAACTGAAAAACTGATGCCGTGCTAGCTGCGTAGTTCTGAATGGAACTTCTATCGTTTCATGAGATGAGGCCAAGAGGACAATTGTAACATAACTGGGAGAGAAAAAAGACTAAATATGATTTCACTCCTACATTTACTGTCCTTGTATTTATTCAAGGCCAACGTTTTCTCTGGTGGGGACTTCAAAGTTGGTTTATCTCATGCCAAGTCTATAAAAAAAAAACTGATGATGTGATGTTGTGTAGCATTATGGATAATAGGCCAATACATGAAGATGCAGAACTGAAGACGATTCACTTTTGTTGAATCCACGTTTTATTTTGCTCCATCTTTTGTTGGGGGAGGGTGTTTTTAAGTTTCTACCACATTGTGCCACCCACACACAATACACTCTCCTCAACTCAAATTCGGCCGGGGCTTTTTTTCAGCTTCAGCTGTCCTGGGGCTGTGCTCCAGAAAAATGTTTCCCTGACCCATGCCACGTGCAACTGTGGTAGCATTGTTAGCATTAACAATTCGTTTTGTTTGTTTTTAGCAGCCTAATGCACCGATTTTGTTATCGAGCCAGGAACATCTTAAGTACAGAAGCGGCCAACTTGTAGATTTATTTCTTATCATGGCTTAGACAAAAGTGCTGCCAAGTGTCCTTTGAGAGCAGTGGCAGTCTGAGCTGCTCTGGATTGCTGTCTGGGGGCAGTGCTTGTCAACTGTGGTCTACGAAATGTGGGAACCCCCCGCGGTGTTTGTGAGTGCAAGCCAGAGCAGGTTAATTTTTACAAATGAGCGCAATTCAAATCTGCACACGGTACCAGATAAGCATTGCTCACTCTGTCTCCACTCGTGCCCTGACAAACAGGCAAACGCCACGACATGACTACATGGATCCAGATAAACTGGTAGTCGCTTATGCAATTCGCAAATCACATTTTCAGTTTACCAAGCATATCTATCAACGTACGTGATCTGGTGAGAACTGATATCATATACATGAGACCAGTCTGATGAGTATATTCCCACTGTGCAAGTAGGAGACCATTAACTTATCATATTTTGGATCATTTGTGGAAGGTGGTAGAGTAGTTGCTCCGCGGCTGGTGCATTATGCTAGGAAGCAGGCAACACCTGAGTTTGATTCCTGCCCACGACCAACATCAGTGGATATTGATATCTGCACTGGTCATGGTTTGCCAACTCCATTTTCACCAATCCACAGTTACCAGTGTGGTGAAGTATGGTGAAACTACCCCGATGTCTGACACAGCACGGGGAAGTCTTCATCTGGCAGTGGATTGGCAAAGGGCTATGAATGGTTATTATGATGATGCTTTGTGTGGCTGTTTATGTGTGTTGGTCTAATGGGAGGTCATGCTAAGTAAGTATGGATATACCTGCAGAAAACAGGTGGGAGAGTATGTGAGAGAGTAGTAAAGTGGAGTTGGTTTAAAATGTCACCCAACCTCACGAGATGTTATATACAGGGTGCACTTAATAAAACGAAACAGTTTTCGCCAGCAAACTATTCACCCGCATTTCTCAATATTTGAGCTCACAGCTTGTAAAACGATCAGGTAGTTGTTTGACAAATCCCAGTTGCAAAGCTAAAATGTTCCTTAAAGGAAATTCTTTACCGCACTGAATGTACCACGCTGATTTACCTGTGGCCTAATTTCATGCACTTGGACTCTTTGGCAGCTAGGGGTTGTCAACTTTTTGAACTTATCTTAAGACCCCCCACATCAGTTGATAAATTGGCTTGCAATGAATGCTCCTGTGATTTTACTTAGAAGCACTGGGGATGCAGTTTTTTCCGTCATATTCTGCACACACGTGTTCAGGATGGAGTGGTAGTGGTACACACGTTGCACCGTGACGATCTGACATTATGTCCTGGTCACGGTCAACATCAGTGGCGAATGATTTCTGAGCTGGTCCTGGGCACTCCCCTTAACACCAACCTGCACTCACCAGTATGGTGGATTTTGGATGAGCAAATCCCCATTGGCTGATACAGTTTGTGGATACCATCTTCCGGCAGTGGATTTACAATGGGCTGTAAATTGTAATTATTTTTTATTTCTATATTCAGTTTAACACTTTGTTGGTAGGAATGATAAATATGGTATAAAACAATCGAAAATATCTTAAATCTGAATTGTTGGGGATAGTATAAGAGGCAAAGACTTACTGTTGGCCACAAGCTCTGAGCGCAAATTCCAGACAACATTACAATTCACTGCCAGTTCTGATTTAATCCACATTCCTTAGGACCTGGAATACCATGCCACATAAAGGTTGCTGATGCAGTTTAAATCGCCAATGGTTTCCAAAGTTAAAATACGTTTACCAAAGTGCTTCTAATGAGAACGGTGGCACTTGAATACACGAATATTAATAATAATAAACATACAAACATTTAAGGGACTGCCATGGCATCGCTACAAAAGCATCATTGTCAGCCATGGTCTATCCCCTACTTGACGTCGACATTCACAAGCCATAGTCATCTCTTATACAATCGATCCAGCTCCGACACAGCAGATAATGTAATCGCAAACTGAAACACAAAATCAGATGTAGTTGATTGACATTTCAGGTAGTAGCCCTTCTTTAGATGGCCATTAAAGTGCAGAGAGATATATATTGACGTCGATTTCGAGATCATACTTAATGCCATAGTCCCCAGTCAACTCTACATCTCTAAATCAGTTGTACATCTACAATGCCTGAAATGCCACCCTATTAATAAGTGCGGAGTGTTTTTTGGGGAATCGTAAATTGTTAAATAAATACGTGAGGGGGAATGGTGAGCTCAGCGGTAAGTATGCTGCTTTTTAAACTCAACTGAACTATTTCTTTTATTTTAGCAGGTAAGACCCACTGAGCTATATATCACTTTTTTAGAAGCGAGCTGGCCACAAATGACATCCCATCTGAGTGGCTTATCATGTGGAAATGTATAGCATACGAATATGCTAAACACATGTTTCTAAATGTTGAGGGGAAAACCTGAGGACCCAGAGAAAAATCCACGCAACCACGGGGAGAACACGCAAACTCCAAATATACAGGCGTTAGGGTCGGGATCGAACCCACAACCTCTTGTATACCAGGAGAGGTAGTAAACATCTCACCACCGCGGTGCCCTGGATACCTGAGTGTGATTCCCGTCCATGGCTAACTGGGGAGAGTGATACATGAGACGGTCCTGTTACCCCCTCTTAGACACAGACATTTGATTTAAGCTGGAAGAACCCGATGAGCTATGAAGCTCTTTGTCACAATGTATCCAGCCTAAAGCTGGGGCTGGCAATGGAAGTTACACAGGTGGATAAATGAAACAATCACAACTTCACCAGCCCATGCTGACCAGCATGGTGAAGTATGGTCCAGCAATTGCTGTGACTGACAGCATGGGGGAGGCCATATGATCGAGCCGTGGATTGACAAGGGCTGGATATTTTCTACACAAAGGACGACTTTCGGAACATATTTGACAT